TCATAATAATTGTAAATTATTAAAAAAAAGGTAGTCTTAGGCCCGTTTTCTACCAACGTAGATTAACTTTAATCTCAGTTCAACTTACTCTTTATCTTTTTCTAATTCTCAGAACTGGAAAAAGATGGAGAGTTAGTTAAACCAAGATTAAAATTAAACTATATTGGTAGAAAGAGGCCTTAGGCTGAGACATCTCTATTTTTTAATCTACGTGAATTATCCGTCTATTATAAAATCATTTTACGTGACACGCACACCCGCTTTATATTATTCTATTTTTTTTATCTTTTAAGATATTTTTCAAGCGACTTCTCTTTGAAAAGCAATTCACAAAAGAAAAACGGCGATCGCATGCATCGTTTTAATCTTAGAAAAACACAAGTCTCTCTCGACTTTTGCTGTTGTGTGCTATGAGAGTTCCGTCTAGCACAAAGTTCATGTTTTACCTTTGCACCGATAATTCGCGGCAGGAAATAACGCGTTTGTGAAAACAATGTGGATTTTTCTGCCAATAAAACAAACGCTCGTGAAAAAACGAAGGCAAATTATAAAACAAACGTCTGCCAAAATGAAATGCGCGAGCGTTTACACTACGTTCTTTAATTTACATTGTAATAATGATTTACATTATACTATAAATAAAATTGATTATATTTATATTACATTTAAATTTATATTGTATTTTACTTTTGTATCATGTTATATTTTATATCGCAGTAAATTAGAATTCTCTACATCCAACACTCATTAGCATCAACAAAATCGCGATATCGAACTTTATAGCACGATAGCTTCGAGTTTTGCACGTTTATGGAATATTGCGAAGCGTAATTCCACATGCGCGAAAAGTTAGTTAAGGCACGAACTCGCTCGACCCTTGCTCGTCACGAGACGGTCATCGATTCCATTTCGGCCGACCGAAATCGCTAATCCCCGGTTCCTAGCTATATTTTTCCTCGTGGCATTACGGACGCACGTGTACGCGATAACCCAGTTCCTGAAAGACACCGAAGCGACAAAACTCGCGATGATAGCTCGAGAAATGAGAAACTTGGCGTTTTGCCCAAATTTTTCAGGATTGGCGGATCGCCGCGAGGGCACGCCGGCCGAGAGAGTACGTAGATGAGAGAGAACGTGAAAAAATGAGGTAGTAAACGGAGAAATGCAATTTATTGATACTCCAAAATGTAGATTCCCCGGGAGTATACGCGGGGAATAATAATTTCGTATTGACTTTTATTTGCTGCATTGATCAAAATGGAACTTTGGGACTATCAGTACATTAATCCGCACGGTATATCTATACGTGGCATCTGCTTGAATTATTACTCAACTTCTCCGACGTAACGATTCACCAAAAGAGAACGCTCGAATTTTGCTTCAGATCAACGGTGAACAATCTTTCGCGACTATCAGTAAACGAGATCGATTGTCTTCCAAGGAGCATCTTCCGCAATTTCCATCGTCTTCCCGCGAGCTATTTCTTCTCGGGCGCCATCGTCATTGGGCTACTAACAAATTGTAAGACGATCAACATGGCGAACTAGAACTCGACATTAGCTCAGCTAAGCCACTTTTAATTTCAAGGAATTACCCGAGAAAATCATCCGAAGGAATTACGCATATAGATCCTCGGGAGAATTAAAAATTACTAGGACAGTCCAAATCTAAAAGAACCGAACGCATTTGAGAGGCGTGAGAATTAAATGAGAAATAATTACTTAACAGTCTTTTAAGGTTCCATGATTTTTTATAAAAAATATCACAGCTAGGAAAATCAAGAATTACAAATCAGGATCTGCGAATGTTAAGTAATTGCTGACTGTTCATCGTTTTTTCAGCACGGAATGAAAAAATATTACTAGGAAAATTACCAGGATTTACAAGAGCTGAATAACACATTTAAAATACATAAGTATTAAGAACGGTTAGAGAAGAAGAAAAAAAGAAGAGAAACACGCGATAGAGAAGAAACTTCATTAGAAAAAATTGGTTAAAAGAAATTATTAAAATTTATTAGACGTGACCGATCCGACCAATTCTCGAGCCTGACGTTAACGGAGCAGGTGCATCGAAGGCCAGAATAAGGAGATACTCCTCCGGAGTATCGCTTGACACAAACACATTCCGTCCTTGATACCAAAGAAATTATTTAACGCGGTCGAGGATTCTCGCATTCGCTTCCGCGGTCTTTGCCGACCGCGTAAATCGCCGTCAATCTCAAGAGAGAGATCTCGGAGGAAGCCGTTCTGGCACGTGCTGTTGATCGTTCGATGACAAACGAACAAGAACAAGAACAAGATTTGGTGCCTACCCAGCGTGCGTGAGCGGATCCTCGGGCACGAGGGCGGTGCGCCGAGGAGATCTTCCTCGACGACGGCGATCGCGACGACAAAGACGACGAAGACGACAGCATCGACGACAACGATGCTACGCTCGCCGGCGCGCGGCGCCATCACCGTCCTACGGGAGCCCTCCGCTTCTGCATCGGTTT